CCTCCCGGGCCGAGCCGGGGCCCGGGCCGCGCCCGCCGCGGCCTTTGGGTGTCCCGCGGCCGAAACGCTCCCCTAGATGGGATGGGCAGGCCTTACCCTCCCCTTTCGTTTCCTTATTCCAGGGAGTGTCTTTTTCCTTCCAAGGCCTGTCGAAAATTGCTGCCTGAGTCGGTGCTGGCAACAGGTTGCCTCGCCTGGCCTGGCCTGAATGTCACGCTATAAAATGGAGACTTTAAATTCATTGATGTGTGCCTTTTCTGCGTGCAGTAGGCCCTGTGTCATATTAGAGAAACTATGAGGAAACCGCAAGTACAAAATAAGAATAAAGATGCTGGTTTCCTAAAGTTTGATAATTCTTTTCTATGACCAGTTCAGTGCTCAAAAAAATGAGTTCAGTTTATTGTTCTTGTCACAGCAAGGACAAGAAAGACAGTTTATGTCTCGGTTCTTAGGTAGGTACAGCTTACCAAAAATTAGAATTCGTACATTATCTCATCATAAGGCTAGTTTTCCAAGGGAAAAAAATACCAGTAAATTGCGGTAGACAGTCTTATACTACAGGCTGTATTTTTAAAGAGAAGTGATGCTGGAACAATGATATTTGCGTGTGTAACAAAGCAATCTGCCGCATGTAGCTCATCTTTCATACAGTTTCATGCTTGCAAGTTTTCAGTGTGTAAGTCTTTCCAAATGAATTCTTGTTCCAGTATTGTACAATTTCTTGTCAGTCACAAACCAAAAAGTGAGATGAAATTGCTCTATAAATTAAATTAGCTCAGTGCAGATTCATGTAACAGCATTCTTTATCGTTTGCGATGTAGGTTATATCCTCTGTGAGGAGTACGTTCGGTGAATACTAACGCAGACTTTATTATGGCTAGGTTTCTCAGGCTGCAGCAGACTTGAAGCAGTTCTGTCTGCAAAACGCACAGCATGATCCCCTACTGACAGGAGTATCTTCAAGTACAAATCCATTCAGACCCCAGAAAGTTTGTTCGTTTTTGTAATTATGTGAACTACCTGCATATCTTTCAGTGGTAAGTTCTTGAATTATGATTGATAAACTTGTTTGTTTTGTCATTTAAAAATAGCTAGCTTTAAATGAGGCTGTCTGTGTTAAAAGCATTCAGAAGAGTCGTCTGACTTCTGCAGCTGTTGTTGGTCTAGATCCCCATTTTGGGCCGCTCCTCCTACACACTGTGCATTGTTCTGCACTGGACTGTACAGATGCTGTTCATAAGTGGCAATTAGCTGTTGCAGAGCCTCAACCACTTTCTGTCGCTGCAGCAGCAGAAGTAGCAGGGCCAGCTACTAGTGAGCTGCTATTGTGACAAACCCGGCTTGACAGTAGTTGTGCTGTATCTTCCCTCCTTTTAAGGGTATTGTTTCCATTTTCTCACTTAGAATTATTGCCTGACAGTGTACATGGTAAATTCAAATTGTAGCAGACACTTAAAGCAGACTTTAGTTCTTAAGATTTTCTTCTGGTTTCTTGACAAGCTACCTAAACTAAAACTTGTAAAGAGAAGTTCCAAGGGTAGGGGTGGTCTTAAAGAAGAGCCATGTCCTCTACAGGACACATCCTCTAAGCCAAAAGGAAAGGCTAGGTAGTCCAAAAATTATATCAAGGCCTAACTAGTCTCTATAGAAAGAGTGGGGTTTAGATCCACAGTATTTTAACTAAGAGCTTTTGAATCACAGTAATTTGCTGTTTTTGCATATAGCAAATGCATAAAAACTGTACCATCTCCCTCTTCCCCCTCACCTTTTATCTGTTGGGAGTGAGAGCATATACAACATTATTTCAAATCACCTGATGTGCTTTAACAGTCCATTACCCTTAGAAGCCTCATAGTGAGTCTTAACCTTGAAGGATTCTGTTTCTGTAGCAGACCTGCATCACCTAAAGAATTGTAGTTTGCTGGATGTAAGTTGTTATTTATACAGCTTGAAAGAAAGATGACCACAATACAATGTGTTAAAATTGTTCACTCCTTTAACTATTCACTACCTTCAGGCAGATTGCTGAAAGCTTCCAGAAAGTTTGTGTGTCATACAAGCAGTTCATCCTAATAAAACCCAGAGTCCCAGTAATAGAGGTTGATGCTTAATTGTATTAAGCCAAAAAAAAAAAAAAAGGAAACTTCCTAGACTATCTTGAGCAATGAATTACAGTAGTGTAACTGAAATATGTTTTAGACTTCCTGTAGTTTTTAAAGTTATTTCTCCTGTGAGCCTTGTCAACTATTCTTATTTCAAAGATAAACATTTTGGTCACTGACTTATGTTCACACTATTGTGGCTTCAGCTGGGAGCAACAATTCAAGAAAGAGGAAATTATATAATCTGTCAGCATTATAGACTGATGACCTAAATATTTGTAAAAAGCTAAATTAGCTATAGTTGAATCAGTGCTATACATGATTCTCCACTAAGCTTTGCCAATAACTATTAATTCCTGGGTGTGGATGTCAGGAAATGTATGTTTGTTCTGTCTCTCACTTATGTGCACGTACAGAGCTTAATAAGGCTTAATATTTTATTTCCTAATTACAACCCTTATCTTCCATTTCTGATTTTGTAATCAAGCACTTGCTTCTGCTGATGTTACAGGCAAAAGTCATTAGAACAGCAATTTTAGTCATACTACCGATATAGACTTTTTTTTCCCTTCACTGTATCTCTTGCACGCACTTCCTCAAAATAGGCAATGTCTTGCTTGTAATCCTGGTGTTTTGACGATAAGCCAATAGAGTTCTTGTTTGCACAGTGAGCACCACCTCTGTAGCGTGAAAAGGAAGTATAATTCTGTCTAATGGGCTCATTGTTAGCTACCCAGACTCCCCCTGCTTTTCAAAGGCAGAGTAGATGCCTGATATTTCTGTAGGTGTCAAGTGACTGGGAACAAGTTTTTCCTGAAGATTTGGCTTTCAGCAAAGTGCTCCAGTTATCTTTTAACAGCTTTGATTATTTTCCTGTACCTTTGGGGATAGCTTCATGGTTTTAAATAAGTTATTCTGTAATCTAATAGCTCCATAAAACAGCTGTGGAAAAAGATCAATTTTTCTAACTTGCTCTCCATGGCATACTCTGGAAGTGCATGTTTTTAGACAAGAGTTGCTTCATTTAGGATTCGCACTTACTCTAACTACCTTCTTTTGTTTTTGTCTTTCAGATCTTTTAGCATCTTTTCCTAGCTGCTGATGTGTGTAGGGACAGAGTGCCTCAAGGAGTGGCTTGGTTTGAAGTCTGTACAAAAGCTTAGCTTTAACGTGCCAAATCTAACTGTAAAATTGCTACTATTGTCAAACCTCTTACCATCTACCTCTCCAAATGAACTGTATGCTAATTAATACTTCTGTTTCATGAGGGAATCAGTTTTATATACCAAGCAAAAAATAAAAGTTTTGACTTAGTCTGGTTTTGGAGTTACTAATTTTTGGAAGTGTTGATACCTCACCAGTTATTGTATCACTCTGTAACAGCCAGAGAACATACACCAGAGTCTGTCTCTTTAAATGCTCCATGCTGCTGCAAGTTCGTCTTGGGTTGACATTGTTACAGAACAATGAGGCTTCAGCAGGACTATACTTAAAAGCATAACAGAAATAGAACAGAAAAAGGTGTAACTTTTTGGCTCTCAGTTTACAACTCAACTATATAGCTGTCCCCTATCAAAGTTATTAAATAAAGGCAAAGGTAATAAAATAGTGTCATTATTTTCTCCTAAAGGAGCAATTCTAAAAGAGTAGATGGCTTACTCTGTAAGTTCTTTAGGTAAATAGTAAAAAGCACCTATAATGGCTGCACTTGAAAAGAAAGTAGTTCAAAGAACACTCAGCTTTTTAGGTGCCACTGAATGTGAACTTAAGGCAGAACAGTAGTGCATTCTGCACATTAATATCAACTCAAGTAAGCCAAAAGACTAAAGAAGCATTTTTAAGTTTTAATACGAAAAATCCTGCTCAGAGACCTTACCTGTTCATCTGAGCAGTTATTTTAGATAAGGTAGCTTTGTATCCTTCCTGAAAGCTGGCCTCATGAATTCTTTCCTCTTGGTGTTATTTCTTCTTATATACAAGAGTATTGACTGTTTCAGATATGTATCTCTCCTAAACATAACATCACTTAGAGAAAAGATAGCTTAGGAGTTAAGCATATTATTTTTGTAACGAACATAGCCATTTTATGCAAGATGCTAACCAAAAGAAATACCACAGACTTCCTAAATTGCATTCAGCCTTCATATTCTCTAGATGAGAGAGAGTTTTTGGAAAACACCGTTCCTCTCAGAGGACAGCATGTTGTAACTTAGAAAGAGGTGTGAAATATTTATACCTTACCGGATCAAGAGAAGATAGCTGAGTTGAGCTGCTTT